TAATCAAAAAAGTACCTGAGAAGAAATTCCTGGACCAGATGATTTCACTGCTGAATTTTATCAAACATTTAGTGGAGACCTAATACCCATCCTCCTTAAAGTTTTCCAAAAAGTAGAAGAGGAAGGAATACTACCAAACTCATTCTATAAGGCCAACATCACTCTAATACCAAAACCAGGCAAGGACACCACAAAAAAAGAAACTTTAAGACCAATATCTCTGATGAACATAGATGCAAAAATACTCAACAAAAGATTAGCAAACTGAATTAAAAAAAAAGTCAAACAGATCATCCATCATGATCAAGTGTGATTCATCCCAGGAATCTACGGATGGTGCAACATTCGAAAATTCATCAACATCATCCATTACATCAACAAAAAGGACAAAAACCACATAATCATCTCAATAGATGTTGAAAAAGCATTAGACAAAATTTAACATCCATCCATGATACAAACTCTCAACAAAATGGGTATAGACGGCAAGTACCTCAACATAATAAAGGCCATATATGACAAACCCACAGCCAACATTATACTTAACAGTGAGAAGCTGAAAACTTTTCCTTTAACATCGGGAACAAGACAAGGATGCCCACTCTCCCCACTTTTACTCAATGCAGTTCTGGAGATCCTAGCCATGGCAATCAGTGAGTACAAAGAAATAAAAAGCATACAGATTGACAAAGAAGAAGTCAATCTGTCCCTGTTCGCAGATGACATGATATTGTACACAAAAAACCCTAAAGACTCCACTCCAAAACTACTAGATCTAATATCTGAATTCATCAAAGTGGCAGGATACAAAATGCGTACACAGAAATCTGTTGCATTCCTATACAGTAATGATGAACTAGCAGAAAAAGAAATCAGGAAAACAATTCCATTCACAACTGCATCAAAAAGAATAAAATACCTAGGAATAAACCTAACCAAGGAAGTGAAAGACTTTTACTCTGAAAACTACAAGACACTCATGAGAGAAATTGAAGAAGATACCAATAAATGGAAACACATCCCATGCTCATGGATAGGAAGATTTAATATTGTCAAAATGGCCATCCTGCCTAAAGTAATCTACAGATTCAATGCAATCCCCATTAAAATACCAACAGCATTATTCAATGAACTAGGGCAAATAGTTGTAAAATTCATATGGAACCACAAAAGTCTCTGAATAGCCAAAGCAACCCTGAGAAGGAAGAATAAAGCAGGGGGAATTACATTCCCTGACTTCAAGCTCTACTACAAAGCCACAATAATCGAGACAATTTGATACTGGCACAAGAACAGACCCACAGACCAGTGGAACAGAATAGAGAGCCCAAATATAAACCCAACCATATATGGTCAATTAAGATATGATGAAGGAGCCATGGATACACAATGGGTAAATGACAGTCTCTTCAACAGCTGGTGTTGGCAAAACTGGACAGCTACATGCAAGAGAATGAAACTGGATTATTGTTTAACCCCATACACAAATGTAAACTCAAAATGGACCAAAGACCTGAATGTAAGTCATGAAACCATAAAACTCTTAGAAAAAAACATAGGCAAAAATCCCTTGGACATAAACATGAGCAACTTCTTCATGAACATGTCTCCCAGGAAAGGGAAACAGAAGCAAAAATGAACAAGTGGGACTATATCAAACTAAGAAGCTTCTTTACAGCAAAAGGACACCATCAGTAGAACAAAAAGGCATCCTACAGTATGGGAGAATATATTCATAAATGACATATCCAATAAGGGGTTGACACCCACATTATAAAAGAGTTCATGCACCTCAACAAACAGAAAGCAAATAATTCAATTTATAAATGGGCAGAGGATATGAGCAGACACTTCTCAAAAGAAGCAATTCAGGTGGCCAACTGGCACATGAAAAGATAATCCACATCCCTAATCATCAGATAAATGCAAATGAAAACCACAATGAGACATCACCTCACACCAGTTAGGATGGCCAACATCCAAAAGACAAACAACAACAAATGTTGGTGAGGATGTGGAGAAAGGGGAACCCTCCTACACTGCTGGTGGGAATGCAAACTAGTTCCAGCATTGTGGAAAGCAGTATGAAGGTTACTCAAAAACTCAAAATAGAAATGCCATTTGACACAGTAATTCCACTCCTATTCCACTCCTAGGAATTTACCCTAAGAATGCAGGAGCCCAGTTTGAAAAAGACATATGCACCCCTATGTCTATAGCAGCAGTATTTATAATAGCCAAGAAATGGAAACAAGGTAAGTGCCCATCAATAGATGAATAGATAAAGAAGATGTGGTATATATACACAATGGAATACTATTCAGCCATAAGAAAACAAATCCTACCAGTTGCAACGACATGGATGGAGCTAGAGGGTATTATGCTCAGTGAAACAAGCCAGGTGGAGAAAGACAAGTATCAAATGATTTCACTCATCCGTGGAGTGTAAGAACAAAGCAAAAACTGAAGGAACAAATCAGCAGTAGACTCACAGAACCCAAGAATGAACTAACAGTTGCCAAAGAGAATAGGGGCATTACGATTAGCACACATAGTATAGCGGTGGGAGGGCACGGGAAAGGCAGTATAGCACAGAGAAGACAAGTGATTCTATAGCATCTTACTGCACTGGTGGATAGTGACTGTAATGGGGTATGTGGTGGGGACTTGATAATGGGGGGAATCTAGTAACCACAATGTTGCTCATGTAATTGTATATTAATGATACCAAAAAAAAGAGAATCTATTCTGAGGACCACCTGGATGTTTCTGCCTGCTCATAATTAGAGTCACTTTAGCAAAGATAATCCACTACAGGAGGTAGAGAAATAAGTCAGCTACAAGATGTGCACCTTAGTCTGTGATACATAGTTGAAGCTTGTATAAGTGGTGAATTTCTCAAAACCTTACTAATGAACTCTTTTTCCATTTTACTCATGGATCAGTCATACTCTGCCAGATTCTATCAGGAGTGTATTAGAGAGATGGTCCAAGCATTATTCCAAGATAAGGAAATAATTTATTATCCTAAACTAGTAATGGCCTAAAGAAATTACTGAAATTGTCTTCTATTGCTTGAAATTTACTATCCATTATTCTGAAACTAAAGTTGTTAATACTTGTGAGAATCTGGCAAATTATTAAATGGATGATGCTAAATAACCACACCTAACTAATTAATTCAACTTGGATTGTGGTGGAAAGGATGTATACTGTACTTACCCAGCCATAGCAGAAGGCATGTTTCCTTAAAATCAAGATTCTGTAAGTAGTGTGATTGTCTTTTAACGGGAGCTCAGCTAAAGTGAGTATTGCCTTAGCTAAAGTGAATATTCAGTTGCAACAATCTCTCTATTTCTTAGCTAACTTATATTTTGTTCTGGTGAAAATCTTATTTACATGTGTTTTAATATGGCAATCTATTGCATAGGAAGTAGTTAGGGCATAAATAATAAAAGCAAGAAACCATTTTGAGTATTTATGTTACAGGCACATGTTTTAAGGCATTTGCATTCATTATTTCTTTTGGTCTTCACATTGGGAACACGAAAGAAGTTATTGTTATAGTCATTACCCTCACTTTATAGATGAGGAAACTGAGGCCCAAGAGATCAAATAACTTACCCAAAGTTCACAGTCAGTAAATGATAGAGCCCAGATTTCAAACTCAGGCAGTCTTATTGCAGAGTTGGAGCAGTTAGTCACTGTGTAATTAATTAGGGAAGTAAACTGCCTAGAGGGCATTAACACTTGAAGCTTCCAACACTATCCTCTCAACATCAGATATTAAAATTATAACTCATCATGCCTCTGTATCCCCCAATACACCAAACCAACCATGAAGATATTTTGTATTCTGCCAGTAGCATCACTGTTCTCTCAAACATCTAAGCTAGAAACTTTGAATTACCTCTGACTTACCCACTGTCCTTTTCACTTATCTATCTGCAACACATCGATCAAAGAGGGCAGGTAGAATCTTGGCCATGAAAAGTTTTGTGTCATGAGTTTCTGCTGGGACAGAGACCAGCAGTACTATTTTAATATTTCTGTTTTACATGATCAAAAATAGAGAATCCGGAAATTTTGGAAATGCTCATATTAAAGAAGCCAATAAACAGTTATATACCAGCCACTTTCCAATTAAGTTATTAAATGATGAGATACAGATTAAACAATGGTATTTTTTTATCAGCTGTATTATTTTATTAGCTGTATTACTTAAACTATAGGTAGTATTTAAAAAACAGGGTACATAATTTGGCAATAAAATAGGATTAAAGTTCAATATTTATATTTGTTGCAGAAACCTTTATTTGCCACTGGTAAAGTGGCTGGTCCTGGGGCAAGTCCTCCCTGTGGCTCTCAGTATTTTCCGAAGCAGAGCTAGGTGTCCTGCTGTCTACCCAAAAAAGAACTGCAAATCCCAGAATGCACTTCCCCCTCTTTCCCGCGAGAATCCCGTAGGGCTGGCTCTACCAATCTCTTCACGTTGGGCCTGTGTCATCGCCCAATCCGAGGGCGAGTGAGCACCCCAAGGCGGGAGGCGGAAGGCGCCCTAGATTTGAAATAGGACAGTGGGCGCGACTGGGAACTGGGTCTTGGAGACCGGCTGTTGGCCGGAATCGGCACGCGTCCTACCTCGAGGGCGGCGGGGCTCGGGCCTACGGGAGAAGGTAAGGGCTGGGCTCCCCGAACCCCGCGGCTCTGTAAGGGGAGGGATTCGTATTTCGGGATGGGTCTGTGAAATGCGCGGCATGCCGCCGTTCGGGCCTCGCGGGGCGGGCAGCCGGGCGGGCAGCGACGGGTCAGGGCGATGCCTGTGCGCCTCCTGGGACGGCCTCCCGAGGGTAACCTCAGTTAGGTTTGGGGTGGTCCTAGCGTTGGGGAGGACCGGTGGAGCCTGGGGTATTAGAGAGGACACTGAGGCCCAGAGTCGAAGCAGTTTTAATTTGTGCAGGTCCTGGGCCACGCCCACTAACATCCGGCTCCAGCTTCCGCTGAGCGCTGCTTCTCCGGGTCGGGGGTGGCAGGGAGACTCGGTGAGGTGGGGGAGCGTTTTCTGTGGGAGAGGGTCTCGTCTGCCCGGGGCCTGCGATGCAGGCTGGGACTGAAGAGCCCAGAAGTCGCTGATTTTGCTTTTGGGTAAACGGCGCCATAGTTACTTCCCGAGAGTCGTCGGGCCATGTGTCTGCGCAGTCACACTCCTGAGATATCTTGGATTCTTAACTGAATCTTAACCAAAGACCAGGTAGCTTGATCTACCCTGGAATATGCAGAATTAAAAGTAAGTTAGCGACTTTTAAACTTTCTAGCAAAGGTCATGCTGCCAAAATATGCTTAATTGGAGTATGTGGATATTTTATTTCAGTAACTGTTAAAAACACAATGTTCTATTTGTTTTGTAGCTTTTTCTTACAAAATGGTAGAGGATGAACTGGCACTATTTGATAAAAGCATAAATGAATTTTGGAATAAATTCAAGAGTACTGTCAGTGACACCTCCTGTCAGATGGCGGGCCTAAGAGATACGTACAAAGATTCCATTAAAGCTCTTGCAGGTACTAAAGTTGCAACATGTTTTTGTTCTTGCTTGTTTTTTAGTGTTATTTCAGCTGAATTGAAACTTAAATTTCATTTCCTCTTTCAGAAAAGCTCTCTGTGAAATTAAAGGAAGAAGAACGAATGGTTGAGATGTTTCTGGAATATCAAAACCGTATGTGCAAACTAGATCACAGAGTTCTAAAATTAAATACCTGTATGAAATCCCTTATACAAGTAAAACTGTTATGTGTGTGCATATGTATGTGTGTGTATATGCACACACATACATGCGTACATATATATATATTTTTTAGATTTTATTTTGGTATCATTAATCTACAGTTAGATGAAGGACATTATGTTTACTAGGCTCCCCACTTCACCAAGTCCCCCCCACATACTCGTTCACAGTCAGTCTCCATCAACATAGTAAGATGCTGTAAAATCACTACTTGTCTTCTCTGTGTTGTACAGCCCTCCCCGTGCCCCCCCAACCCCCACACTATACATGCTAATCGTAATGCCCCCTTTCTTTTTTTCCCCGCCCTCATCCCTCCCTTCCCACCCGTCCTCCCCAGTCCCTTTCCCTTTGGTAACTGTTACTCCATTCTTGGGTTCTGTGCTTCTGCTGCTATTTTGTTCCTTCAGTTTTCTTTTGTTCTTATACTCCACATATGAGTGAAATCATTTGGTACTTGTCTTTCTCCGCCTGGCTTATTTCACTGAGCATAATACCCTCTAGCTCCATCCATGTTGTTGCAAATGGTAGGATCTGTTTTTTTCTTATAGCTGAGTAATATTCCATTGTTTATATGTACCACATCTTCTTTATCCA